CCCCCCCCCGTCTTCTTCAGGGAGAGGTCAGGGATCACGCAGGCGTCCTGTCCGTCCCCACGCAGGGCTGGGCAAGTGGTTAGTTTTGCTTTGCGGGAATCGCTCCCCCTCTCTCTGTTAAACTGCTATTATGATTTGTTATATTTTCCACAGCTGCTTATTCTTGTTTGACTGTTGTACAAAGCCGCTTTAAATCTGCTGCAGGAAGAATAAAACTTAAAACTGCTTGGACGAGTTCCTACAGACTTGCGGGCTAGTTCGGGTCCATTTCGGTCCCTGTGTAACAACCCCTCTGCACAAATCAGGTCTTGATAAGCCTCGTTACTGCAGCTCGGGGCAACAGTCCGCTCACTAGTATCAACAAAAATAGGAGCTAATTCAATTATGTCTGAAAGCCAGGGTGTAATAGAGGGAAACTCTGGCGCTTATGAACTAAGCTGCTATATTTGCTTTGCTATAAACTGACGAGAATATTTTATGATGGAGGGGAACAGTACAACACAAAAGGGAAATATGACAATAAATCTCTTTTTATGGATTCTCTCTAGCAGAAAAATACAAGGATTCAACGGTTTTACGAGTCAACTATTTTGCAGGTACATCTAAAGTTAGCTAAATGGAAAAGAATGTGGATAATTTCCCCCTACACATGCACAGGCACACACACATGCCCACGCACACTCTGGCCGAAGGGAAACCCAACTTTGTCGCCTCCATGTTCAGTGACAAAACTCCCTGTGACTTCCACGGAAACAGGACTGGCACGAGAGTTCACATCTGACCGCTGCAGAGATATGCTCTGATCATTTAAGGTGCCCCTGGCAATACCCTTTCATAATTTACTGATATGCAAAACGTTAAGTCAGAAGTAATGCTCCACCATCCATCTCATAATGAACACATTAGGATATTTTCTTTCTAGTTACTCCAAAACTATTAACATTTGAGATCATTTATCCAACCTTGGAGCTAAAATACAGCTTTGGTTTCACAGGGCCAGGTCTTTAAAGAGATTCACATGCTAAAATGAGGATAGGTACTTCAGGAGGGATTTCAAAGTGGCAAGGGGTCTAACTCTCCTTGAAATATGTGCAGGTTCAGCATATAAATCCCTTTGAGGATTTAAACCCTGGATACTTTTGGAAATCAAAATAGGCAGCTGTCTGCATCTCAATAGCTTTAAAAATCTGTCCCACGTACAATGTGCATGTTCAGAGTCATGTTCCACTGTAAAACAGCATTTATATGTCCTAAAACTATTTTATTCAACTCTAGCATGTTTGCGTTTAAGGCGCTAGGATAGTTTTGTTACCTGTTTCCACGTCCTGTTTTGGTTCTTTCTTGCTATCAAGTCCTGATCTTGCTTACCCTGAACACTCAAGTCTGAACTTAAAGTTGCTAAGCGAGCAAGGGATGCTGGTAGGTCCAGCTGTTTGCTGGTGGACTGAGAAATGCAGAGCTTGAAACAACTGTTTCCCGTATAATCTCACAGTCCAGGTCCTTTCCCAGCTCACCACGCACACATGCACACGGCGTGCCTCTGTAAGTGACCAGTCACTATGAAGTCTAGCAGCTAGAAAAGCAGAAAGCAGAGGCAGTGTACGCAAAAGTATTCTTCCAAAAATAAGTCTCTTTAGTAAAAAAAGTGTTCTTATATATCGCTAAATGAAAGTCATGCTGCCATTTTCTTGGCTTTTTGTTTTTTTTTTTTTAGTAGAATAGGAAAATGATTGCAGAGCCCTAGTTTTATTAAGGAAGGTTGGAAAATGATTTACAGTTCAGGTATGTCAGTCCTAATCGTGTGTTGAACAACACCTACAAAATGTACCCTTGGCAAAAGAGAGCTTTTGAAAACTCACAGACACAGTCCTCATCAGTACAAGTTGTCCTGCTCAACTCAACCAGACTGCTCATCATAGTGGCTCCTACTCATACGAACTCAAGGTTGCATTTTGCAAATGTTTTGCGTATGTCTACTGTTAATGGCACTGTTTTATACTGGCTTTGCAGATATACTTGAGCTAGCTTGTATACCATTAGCAGGCTTGCACAGGAATGCAGAGCATAGTGCAGGCTGATTTTACTCAGTTTCTCACTGAGCAAACTAGCCTGGGCTATGCTCTATGCTATTGCAGGTAAAGTACTGCAAGCACTGTTTTATAGCTACTTCAAGTAACCTTACACTGGACTACAGTCAGCAGTATAGACAGAGCAGTGGGAAAAT